ATCCGTTTGTCCATCATTCGCAAGCGGATCGGATACGGAGTTCGCGAACGGACAGAATACGGAGGAATACGGAATAATGTGCTGTGGTTTTCTGAAAACGGGTCGCGTGCGGTCCGTATGCGGTTCCTATTTCAACCGCGCGCAAACGCTGAGCGTCTGTAACGGATCCGTTCGCATTTTACCTGTGCCATGCAGTTCATTCAAAATGTGACCTCGATTCCTCATACCTTCATCTATTTTTTCTTTAGAAGTCAGATAATCCAGACTGACATTATTTTCCTTATTCCCTTTTCTCTTTTTGTTCTTCGTCTTCTTGTCTTTTTTCTTTCTGGATTTTTTAGATTTCTTAGATTTTTTGGTTTTTGGTTTCTCTTCACTTTCACCATCTTCATCAGTCTTGTCTTCTCGTACTTCTTTGCAATCCATGTTTTCAAATGAATGGTAGTCATCCTGAAGTTTTCGAACTTTTGAGATTCAGAAATTGTTCAAAGGGACTAAATTTTTTATCTGTTTAAAATGTTTGAAAACGTATGTATTTTCCTAATGTTAATACGAAAAAATTCAAAACAAATCTGAAATTTTATACACATTTTTAAGAAGTTATATTACGAAAATACATAACTTTGGGAACATTTTGATGCTGAAAACGGCAGAAAAAATTTGGTCGGAGTCCCCGTTCAATTTCTTACTTACTCCAATTGTCTCTGCTGGATGAGTTGGCGTAGTAGGAGTCATTGAATGAGTGTATCCATGATCATCTGGATACGGTACCTGATTGTAGATTTGATGACGAGGATTCTGATGTTTCTTTGTGGGTGGGCAAGAGGTTTTAGCTGTTGCTCGGTGGGTTTCTTCATTTTCCTCTTCATCATCTTCTTCATCATAATCTTCTTCTTCTTCGTCTTCATCCTTATGATTTTTCTTGCTCTTTTTGCCATTCCTTTTTTTCTCTTTGAAATGTTTTTCTTCTTCTTCTTCTTCCACCTCCTCATCATCTTCCTCCTCCTCTCGAGCATGTCCATCTGTATCTCCATCCACTGCTTTCGGAATCCTCACATCTCCATCAATCTTCTTCAGGTTTCCATTCTCATCTTCTTCCGATTCATTATTTTCTTCAGAATCTTTGTCTTTTTTGCTCTTCCGATCATTTTTCTTCTTTTTCGATTCTTGTTCCTTATCTTCTTGCTCTTCGTCATCTTCATTTTTCTTAACTTCTTTACCTTTTCCAGATTTTCGAAGATCCTTAAATATGAAAACTTTGATTTAATTCTAGAGAAATATATTCTCATATGAACAACTTCTCCCTTTTTGACTTCTGCCCAACTAATTTCTTCTTGTTTCCCTTCTTCTGCCTCTTTTGCTTTATCATTTTTTGCATCCTAAACTTCATAAATACTGTAAAGTAAGGCTCTCTAGTTGCCTGGGGCAGCTACCCTCCAACCCCTTCTAAAGGTTCCCTCTATCCACGCAACGACACTCCGCTATCCCGCTCGGCGCGCGCGCAGTTTGAAATTCAGTTTTGAGTGATTGCGAGCTTGGATTTGGCTCGTAGGTTTCGAGAGACTCTTTTAAGGATTTTAAGTGAGTTTGCTTGAATTCTAAGCTTTTATTTCTTGTTTCTTTCTAACTTGTTGATAATAAACCAATTTTGTTACATTTCTTGTTGATTTTCTTCTATTTTATCACAGGAACCTGATACCCCCGACATACCGCGGGCAATTCTCTTCTTCCTACCTCATCTTTGGATCCTTCACTTTCGTCTTCTTTCTCTTTCTTTTTTACCAAAATCTTTTTTGTCGTTGCAGTTGTCTTTGCTACAGTTTGTGTAGTAGGTTTCTCAGTAGTCGTTACCATTTTCATTCCCTCTTCTGGTTTTGCCAATCCTTCAGCATCGACATCTGCTTTGACACCTTCTTCTATAGCAGCAAAACCTCCGCCGTCTTCGTTTTCCACCAATTCATCTCCTTTTCTAGACAATCACAAATTTTTTGTATCAACAATTTTTGAAAACTAACCCAACTTGAACTCTAACTGGAGCTGTTGGTGCTGGTGGACGTCTTCCTCTGCTTCCAGTTGGTCTTCTGTAAATATGAACGTCGCCTGTGACTACATTCTTAACTCCATGCATACCTTCCTCTGGTTCTTGATGGAGGACGATATGCATCATCATCGTAATCCGTTCCATACCCGTTGTCATATTTATCAGGGTCGCTGAACCTTAACGAGTAAACAAAAACTGAACAATTTCGTATAAGAAGATATGTTTAGCACTTACTTTTGATACCATGGAGCCTGTTGTTGACCTAATTGTGGTCGATGTCTTCCACGAACCCATGGTACTGTAGTCGTTGTAGTTTTTGGACGTTTTGTTGTTGTAGTATATCCTGGACGAACTCTATGAGATGGTAACTCATCCCATATCGTAAATTGCCCTTCCGATTGATGTTTTACATTATGGACGACTGAATTCACTGCTGCCAATGACATTCCTTCTGCTCTTGCATAATAATTACGATAGAATGGATCCTGGTCTCGAGGGTCTTGTTCCATAACTAAAGGGGAGAATATTATAGATCAATTTATTGGAATCAAAGGTCGGAACTGACCGGCTTCAAAATCTCTTTAAAATTGAAATTGCGGACAAAATCAGGCTCTTTCCGGGGAGAACCGAGCTCTATCATCTGATATGGTTTTGCTCAAAATTTCAATTTTGAAGCGAGCTATCAGCCAGCCTGTGCTGGCCGGAATCAGTCCGTCGACAAGTATGCAAGTGGGCATAAAAATGAAAAAATGAGTATAGTTAGCGATTTCCGTTGAATTCTTCTCATCAGCAGTTCAAAAAAAAACTAACCAATATTTCCAACATTGGAGAAAGATCGCAGCTGTGAATCCACTTCAAATACATAATGAACAACCATTAGAAAAATATTGAGCCATTTTTCAGTCAATTTTTTCATGGTGAATAAGTTTAAAGAATTAGTTCATCTGAAATCGAGGGGAGAAACTACTTAAATACTCGAGAACTATGAATTCTTTGGTTTTTTCAGAATAGGGAAAAAGTCTTCGAGTAGAAACATACAAAGTAGCGGTTGCATTATAAACTCGTTCATTGCATTATTACCATTAAGGAACTGTGAAACTGAAAAGAAAAGAAGAAGAAGAGAGAAGTAAGAAGACTAGTTATTCGGGAAGAAACCACAAAAAAGCACTCATCGGTTCCCTTTTCCTATGTTTTTTTTTGTATTCCATGCCACACACTAATTAACAGAAATTCTGATTGTGTTGAAGGACTGTATGGTTTCTGTAAGATTCCAAGAAATCCCTTAAATTGAGACTTATCATAAAACCTCTAGTAGAAAGACCCCATACTGTCGGGTTTGAGCTCAATTATCACAATTCCTATGCAAGATATCAAAAATGTGGAAACTGATCAAATGTTTATGAGATTATGATGAACAGTTTGTCAGTTGACAGTTTTCTCGTATATTTGACAGTAACCGAGAAAAATTGGCTCAAAGTTGAAAGTCAAGGGAGCCCTTCTATTACCAAAAAAGGTTCATAAATATTTTTATAGGTCAAAAAATTTGGGATTTGACAGAAAGTTGAAAGTCAAGGGAGCCCATCTATTACGAAAAAAGGTTCATAAATATTTTTATAGGACAAAAAATTTGGGATTTGACAGAAAGAAAAACTTTGTTTTTGTAGTACTTTTTGGGCTCTTTATGACAAGGGGGGCCCATGAGAAAAGGGGGGGGGGGCCCAAGCGAAAAGGGGGCCCATAGGTAAAAATGTGGACTAAGTTAAGATTTACCTATTTTTTCTAGTTTTGTTACCGTTTCCATTAAAATTTCGAACTTTGAAAACTTTTCATAATTTTTTGAAAATTTCAGTTTATGTCATTTTTTGCATATTTTTTGTCTATTTTTTTGTTACTAAGCCTGGAAAAATCTGAAACTAGCTGAATAACTTCAAATTACAGAGTTACAATCATACTTATGGAAAAGATGGCCGGCCCGCTTTTTGAAAATTTGGAAATTTTAGAGCGAATCATCATTTTTCAAGATGGTTTTTCTTCTTAGTGAATGAAAATCCACACTAGAGGCCGATACTGTCGACAAAAACTGTTTTGAAGTCGTAATTAGAAAAAAGTTTCATCCTTGGCTTAATGAAGTATGATTTTTTTTGCTAAAAATTCAATTAAATTGACTTTTTGGGGCCGGCCGGGCCGAAAGTTTTGAGGCAAGCGGGCCAGCCCGGCCCGGCCATCCACATGTATGGTTACAATGGAAAAAAAATAGTGTTGTTCATACAAAAAACCGGCCTAAACTGAAATTTTTTGAAGTGACAAATTTTTGTGGAAACAAGCGCAAAGTACGAAATTTTTATAGAAACATTCGAAAAATTAGAAAAAATTGGTAAATCTTAACTTAGTCCGCATTTTTACCTATGCCCCTCCCCCTTTTGACTTGGGCCCCCCTATTCTCATGCCCCCCCCCTTTTTGCTTGCCCCCCCCCTTTTCTCATGGGCCCCCCTTGTCATAAAGAGCCACTTTTTGTCCGAATTAACACATACGAGATACGCCTGAATCTTTTTAATGGAGGACTATTGCCGTTTTCGGATTCACTTTTGATTTTTGAAAATTATGAGGGTTACTTTAGTTTTCGGGTTTATTTTCAAAATTGATAAATGAGGATTACTGTAGTTTTCAGATTCACTTACAAAAGACTTATACGAGAGGACTACTGTAATTTTCGAATCAACTGTCAAAATTCAAAAACAATTAGGGTTACTGTAGTTTTTGGATTCGCTAAAAAAAGTGCCAATGATGAGGATTACTGTAATTTTCGGCTTCAATTTTGATTTTTGAGCATATAAATAAAAATTTTGAACTGAAATGTTTTTTCAGTTAAAAAAAAACAACAAATAATATGGAATGAACCTTTATTGTCAATAAAGTTATCTCAGAGCTCCGACGGATTCTCACGAGCCAATTGTCTCTGAATCTCCTTTCGAATCTCGTTGTCGATCTGAAATGATTTTAAACCATATCGAAAACTCAAATAAAGGCATACTTTTCGGTTACTCCCTGGACGAAGTTTCACATTCCACAACTTCAAGCTGGTTGGTGTAACATCGGAATCAGTCAAGTCGACAGTAGTGTTATGGGCTCTCCTGAATCTAATTGTTTCTTAAAAAATGAATGAAACACATACGGTGTTCGCATCTCATCGCCATTCATCACAAGAATCGACTGCTCATCTTCTCCAGCAACAGCACGAGATCTTGTACGAGAAGCGACATGAGAAACTTCCAGAATCGAAGAAACGTCAGCATCAAAATCAATTGTATTATTGAGTGGTTTCAATGAAACTGCTGATCGACGAGATCTTTCCGTCGAAACAGGTGAGATGTAGTTGAAGTTGAAACTGGGATTACGAGAACGGACGGTCCCATTCATGTCGCTGACATCAGCCAGAAATCCACGTTGGTGCTGAAAATTAATGGAATTTCGGAATATTAGAAAATAAAATAAAAAACTAACAGTTGATTCATCCATAAGAACGGAAGGATCCAACAACGTTGACTCTTCAATGATTGCTCCTATATTGGGACGATCGATTTCCATCGGAGAAAAATCACAACGGACGCCTTCTTGAGAAGTTCGAAGAAATGTGAGACGAGCTTTGGAGGATCTCACCATTCGATTACGGTGAACAAGCATGGAATCGTTGAGAAGTGGAGACATACAGGAATGATTTGTACTCTCTGGTTTTTCGTATTCATGAAGCAACTCTTTCAACATTTTCAGATATTCTTCCACTGTTGATACAGTAAGCTCTATTGATCGACCACCAAGAACAGGAAGAAATGCAGCTGTCGTATTTCCAGCACTTTCCAGAATCTTCTCGATTGTTTGTGAGAATGCTGCTTCGAGTTGCTCGCGTTGGTTCATTGCGATTCAGACTTTTTTATTATGTTACTTGCTTCGAGTAAATAAAATCGAACTGACTTATGTTTTGTCGTTTCTATATTTTAAACCAGCTAGCTGGCGCGCCTTTTGCACGATATTTTCTAAAAGGTTACGTAAATCTATATTATTTTTTCAAGCTTTTCAAAAGCAGACAACCTGACAACGGGACATATATAAGGAACATGATGAAGATTACTATAGTTTTTGGATCCTCTTTCAAAATTTAAAGAGAGGATTGCTGTAATTTTCGGATTCTCTTTTGAAATTTGAAAATAATGAGGATTACTGTAGTTTTTGGATTCATTTTGAGAAATTAAAAAATATGGATTACTGTAATTTTCAGATTCACTGTAAAAATTTGACAATAGTCAGGATTACTGTAGTTTTTGGATACACTTTTGAGAATAAAAAGAAAATTACTGTAGTTTTCGCCAACTTTTCGGTTTCACTTTTAAAATTTGAAAATAACGAGGATCACTGTAGTTTTCGGATTTATATTTGAAAGTTGAAAAACAGGAACACTGTAGTTTTTGGATTCATTTTTTTCAAGATTAAAAAGAGAGGGTTACTGTAATTTTCAGATTCGCTTTTAAAATTTGGCAATATTATGCTATGTTCTTTCATCTTCTTTATTTTTTTCAGACAGTGTGCAGGAAGAAGAATTCGATATTTTGAAAAAGTTTCAAACGAAAAGATCTTTAATCAAATCCCTTTTTATTTATTTATTTGTTTATTACGACCTTCCGTCGTGGAAAAATTTTTCTTATCAACTGATCCATAAACTTTCTATGTTGACCTTATCATTTATTTTTGAAATGACAGTGTGATCATATGAATTTTTATGATGTTTTACTAGGTTTTCTAGGAGACTAGACTGTCAAATGTTGTTCTTATCTTTCGTACTCACAAGGAAGTCATATTTCGAAGTTTGATAGACCATAACAAAGTCTGGTCGATCAAAACATAAAAATTTTATTGTCAAAAATTTTATGAACTTTTTTCGATGTCATTTTTATTGGATTTCTGTATCAGTGATCATTCGAGAACTTCTGAATAGACTTCTCAACATGACGATAAAAAAAAATCATACTCGCAACGGGCCGCAACGGGCACGACTTCACGAAACTCTTTCACGAAAAAAATTGAAAAAATTTCTGAAGTTTTAATTGTTTTTTTCAAATTTGGAGAACCCGGGCCCTGGTATCCTCGGCCCGGCCCGGGTCCTGGAAATCTTCGGCCCGGCCCTGATTTTGCAAGTATCAAAAAAAATAGGTCACAAATTGTGACTCACAAAAGTGATGTGCATTCTCAAATTTACAGATCGGAGTCTTTTACGCAACCAGTTTGTTGTTTCAATTTCTGAAGAATGCGTCGTAATTGTCTTCTTCAAGTTTCTTTTTGGCGAATGTTATTTTGGCTTAAGATACACTAACAAAATGACTTTTGGACAAATTTTAGAATTGAAGACACATTTGTACTGAGACAAAAGTTTGCATGTCAAATTTAAAGTTGGAAAAACAACTACAGAATATGAAAAAAAATTAGGTTAGGTGTTTGCAAAATTAGAAGATGAGTCATAAGGACACCACAAGTGTAATAAATAAGTTTTGGGAAGTTCAAAACAGTGGAATTGGACTGTGGACAAGAGATTCTCTGATTCCGTATTCCAGGTTTTCTGATATGTATCTTTTGGATTTTCAGCAAATATGTTTCCGTAAAACCTCGAGGCGCCATATTTGTGGCTTTAGAATTTCATTCCGGATACTGTATTCCGGGTTCCGACAAATTTTTATTTGTTCGGATTCATAGAAAACTATTCTATTCCGATTCCCGTATTCCGGATTCCAATCTCCAAAAAGTCATTCCTGACATCTCTGCTGTGAACCATGAAACGTGGATGTTAAAGATCAAAAGAATTCAGAAGGCTACGGTAAATCAAAAAAAACTAGCCGGACTAAATAATCGACAATTTAATGTTTCTGATTGGTTCAGGATTGATAAGACCTAACTAACTTTTGGCTAAATTTCAGATTCCTTCTACTAATTTTAAGCTAATTTTCGGATTCATTTTTTTTAAATTCAGATGCGTCCCGATTTCTGATACCGTACCGCCTCCAACATTTCAAATAACCATAACTCATAGATCATTGAGTTTTCACTTTCCCGCGGGTCCATCTGATCGCAATGCACCTAAACCATCACATTTTCTGAACCGTTTTTTTTTTCATATCTGTCGTTATCTCTGCGTCTCTTCATTCTATTATAATCCCTGTTCAACTTTTTGAAGCGAGAACAACTACTACTTCTTCTTCTCTTCATCTTTTCCCATCATTTCCTGAAGAAAAAGGCAGAGAACGGGAGACTTATACGTCAGAGACGACGAACTTGTCATCTCAAATCGTATCGTCTTCTTTTTCTCTATCTCTTGTCTCATAACAAAATACTAACGTTGTCTGGTTTTTCGATGTTTCTCACGCTATGATTTTCGAAAATTAGTGTTACCTTCGTTCGTCTTGTTATCACCTGTCTTATCAAATGATATCAATCATCCAGAAGAGGTCAAACTATCAACGGAGTAGCATGCAAAAAAGTTTTTCCTTTTTTTGAAGTAGAAAAATAAATTTAAAAAAACATGTGTAAAAACATCTGTGATTTATTTCTGCTTTCGTTTTTTCTTTCTTTTGATTGATCGATGTTGACCGAATGGTTTAGATATGAAGATGGCACTGTGCAAAACTGGAGAACTAAACAACGGTCTCGTGAATCTAAGATTTTTGTTTTTACTGAAGTCATATTGTTTTCCCGTATTTTGGTTTCAAAAAAATTATAAAATTTTTAGATTCGACAGCTTGAAGTGTTACCGTAAGACATGTAATTGAAGCACAATGTTTTCGATATTGTGATAAACCGTTTCTCAGTTAACAACATTTTTATATCTTGGAACGTTGGCTCAAAGGGAAAAATTGGCTAAAAGTTGAAAGTTAGGGTGCCCATTTATTACAGATTTTACGGTAAACTGAAATCGCCGTAACTGAAATCAACTATCTATTGTTTTATTTTTTGTGGTCAGTTTTAAAATAAACAAGAATCAAAGATTTTGTGTCTTTTAAAAGTTGTTTATCATGTCTAAAAGTTTCCTAGCCGACTCCAAAGTTTCATATGACTCAAACTTTAAAAAATATATCTTTAAAATGTTTGGAATTCATCAGATCATTCTGAAAGCTTCGACTAGGAATCGATCTGTCAAGATGGATAAAGAAGAATTTTCTCAACATTACTCTCATAAAGCCTCCACCAAAAAAAAATCCAAAAAATCTCCTGTCACCTGAATTTAATAGCTGCCGAATTACTGAAAATTATATAAATAGCTTTCATTCTTCTACACTGAAAACCTTCTGAATGCAACAATATTTAGCTCTCGATATCAATAAAATGTTCATTGAAATATTCAGTTTCAAATATAAAACATGTCAAAAGTTTCAAAAAACCGAGAAAGAGAAGAAATAGCATCGAGATCATTTCAAAATTACAAATGACCCGTTTCGATAATCTGTCGAAACATTTTAAGAATAGGCAAAAAAATAGAGACCAGGAAGAGGAAAACTTGGGACAAAATATGACCGGAATCTGGAATGACATAATAAATTTGTACAGACAAAAAAAGGAAAAAAAAGAAAATAGAAAAATCAAACGACGAGATGAGCAAGATCGCAAGTGTTCAACTGTGTCGGCTGTTCCGTTGTTGAACTTTTTGGTGAGCTGTGATCTTGGGCGGTTCGATTTTGTTGGAGTCGAACGAGTGCTTCCTCGTAGGATGGCGGAGGTATGTCGATTGACATTACCTTAAAATTAAGATTTTTTCAAATTGAGATATTTAAAAGAGGAGCGGGGCGACGAAAACTCGCCAGCCGGTGGTTATAAACTAACTTGATTATAATTTGGAGGAGGTTTACTATAGGCTCTCAAATTGAGTTGTTTGATAATATCGAATGTAGTTGAAAACATCGTGTGAATCTCCAGAATGAAGAACACAATTGAGATGGTTAACCAAACAAAAATTGCCGAGTTGGATGTAGTTTCAGCCATTTGAAGACCATAGAAAAGGGCAGATGAGGAGAGAATGATTTTCAGAAGAACGTTTGGAGAAAGGAATACAGGTCGGAAATTGTACAATCCATACATGGAAAGGAATACGACAAATGTGTTGACGAAGAACATCAAGAGGGTCATCTGAAAATGTTTTGTTTCGAATTTTTGAAAAAGAATCTTTGAAATGAAAACTCACATTTGAATCTTCTCCGCAAATCTCCAGTGTTAAGATGACACTATTTACAAAGTTGATCATTACCAGCATCAGCAAACACATTCTGCTCTAAAAAATCAAAAAAATATATTTGAGAGTTTGTTTTTAAAATCTCACCTGGAACAACTTTCTACGGCTTCTGAGCCAATTGTGCACTCGGAAACGCGTTGAATGATCCATTTTGTAGTGTAGGGGGGGAGATGGGAGGGGAGGGGAGAAGAACTGGAAATAAAAACGTATTTTTCATGTATTTTTCAGCACGATGGAAAACTATAAAACTCGTGATAAAAAGCGATTCCCGATGAGAACAAAAAATAATATAGGAGAAATGGAAATTGAGGCTTAGGCAAATTTCGGAAAGTTTCGGTCAAAGAATGACACTTTGACAAGGTTTATTAGTTATCAGAAAGTCAACTGGTACTAAAAGAGGAACATGATAACAATGTACGGATGATGGTGTTTGTGGAAAAAAGATGAATGATGAGATCAAGAAAGACAGAGAGAAAGAAATGGGGTGGACAAAAAATGGAAGAAAAATCAGAAGGCGGAGAGTGAGAAAGAGAAAGAGAATGATCGGAGGGAAGACTCTGTGTTGGAAACAACAAAAATTGAAGTATGAAAAGATCAGATAGTTTAAAGAGTTATTAAACTTCGATATCAAACATTCTGAATATTGACATTCACGAGTACTATTATTATAAGAAGGAGAATACCAATTTTGGAATGTTAGCGATTGGAAATTGAGAAGAGAATTCAAATTTAAAAACTATTCGGAAAACTTACTTTTTTCGCTATTCATAATGGGGTGTTCTTTAGTAAGAAAATGCTTGAGTCATCTCGGACTAATTTAGCCGTTCTCATAGCTAAGTCACCTTTTAAAAGTTGACAAACGAAAGTCATGGTAATCCCTGTATAGAAAGGCCCCCACACTGTCAAGTTTGAGCTCAATTATCTCGATTCCTGTAGAAGATATCAAAATTTTGCTAACTTATGAAATGTTGATGATATTATGATAAGCGTTTTATATGTTAACAACTTTTTTCTATATTTTACGGGTTTCGAGATAATTGAGCTTAAAGTCAGAGAAAATGTTCTATGTTACCTCCAATGGAAGCCCAACCAAACTGTCAACTTTGGGCTCAATTATCTTGATTCCTATAAAAACTATCGAGAATTTGTCAACTGATAAATTATTTATCACCAGCAAGCTGGTGCGCCTTCGGCGCGGTTCAATCTATTTTTTTTCAAATGTTCGTCGCCTCGTTTCTCACTTTTTCTAAATAAAAGGGTCAGGTAAATATATATATATATATATATATATGTATTTTTCAATTTTTTCAAAAGTCCACAGACGGACACGAGGACGGACAGACGCCTCTAGCGTTTTATTAATAAGGAAGATAATATCATCAATATTTTATCAGTTGACAAATTTTTTCTATACTTTACAGGAACCGAGACAAAAGAGCTCAAAGTTTTGTTGGGCTTCTTAGAGCAAATACGGTAATTTCTTTTCCTCCGACTTTCCTAGGACTTACACTTAAGTACACACCCTTAAAACCAGACTTCAAAGATTTGATGGGCTAATAAAATTTAAAATCTATTGATAACTTTCTGGAATTCAAATTGAAAAGACCAATTCAAAAAGTCTAGACTATATCATTTCACTCATCTCTGAAAGCTAGAATGAATTCGGTTCGTGGCATCGGAATGCCAAGAAAATGTGGAAACTGACAATGAAAGAAAAGGCGGGAATAAACAGGGACATTACCGATAGTGACTGGCTTCTTCTTCTTCTTTCTTCTTCTTCTTCTTCTTCAACATCTTCATATTTTTCCCTCGTTTTGGCGGAAAAGCCCCTTTCATCTTGATTAGATGTGTTCAGTGGTAGAGGTGGTGGCCTTTTGGATAACTGGATGGGTAGAATTGCGAAAAACAAAAACTTTACATTTTTTCGAATAACATTCTAGGGTTTTCTAGGTTTTGGTAGGGCTTGTAGGGAACGTAAATGGTGCTTTTATCTCAAAATATCGAATCAATCGGTTCCGAGAACGACTAGAGAACCAAATTAGGTTCAGGAACAAAAACAAGTTATGAAAAATAATCATTTCATACGACCAACTATCGGTAGCAGCTGAAAATTAGTGTGGAATAAAAGGAAATAGGTAAAGAACAGATGTTTCTTTTTTGAACTCGGAAGTAGTTTTTTCTTTGAAGAAAATATGATTACTCGAAATTCCCTGAAAGGAACAATCGAAAGAAGTTAAAGTTCAGTTCAGAATACCGAAACATTAAGTTTCAGAACAATAAATAGTCTGAAAGTTACAAAGCCAAGAATTTAAGAAATTCCTTAAAATCTTATAAATCCTAAAAAATCCAAAAGATCTAAAATCCCACAATCTTACAATTCGAAACTCTGAAAAATCCGATAAATTCGAAGAATTTTCAAAATTTCTAAATTCTGAAAAAACCCGAGAACCCAAAAATTTAAAATTCTATGAAAGGAACATTTCGTTGAAGTTTTCTGCCCAAAGACGTAAAAATTCGGTTTAAGAACAGTAAATAATCTGGAATTCTTAAAAATCCAATAATTTAGGGAAAACTTAAAATCTGATAACCGAAGTCCAACTTATCTAAAATTTAATAATCCAAGAATTTAAACTCCAAAAAAATCACAAAAATCTAAAAAATTTCAAAAATGAAAAACTTCAAAATTCTGAAAAATCCCAAGAATCCAAAAAACGTTCGAAGACGTTTTTAGTCAAATTTTCAGCTAAAATTTTACCTGCTCAACAATCGAATTCTCGCTAATTTATATTTTCCAAATACGGTAATTTCTCTAATGGAAGTCCACCCAAACCGTCGACAGTTTTTTGAAAATATTTCACAGGAATCGAGATAATTAAGCTCAAAGTTGACGGTTTGGTTGAGCTTCTATTAGAGGAAATACTGTAAGTTTTCAAACATTCAGAAGATGTTGCGTTTTAAATTTTTTTAATATCACGACAGAAGTAATGACAGTGGAGTCAGAAACTAATTCTAAGACATCAGAAACAAATTTGAGGCGACGCGACGTCGTAATATTCCCTTCTGAATCCCCCATACAGTTTGTCTGGTTCAAAGTTTTAAAAAACGATTGAGAGACCAAAGAAAATTGGTGGTGAGAAAACTACTTTTGAAACAACGTCTTCGAATACCAATTCGGAATTAATGTGAGAGAAAAAAAAGAAGAAGTGAAAGTAGTTTTTCGAAAAGGAGAAGATGTTTTTTCGTTCGTTTTTCTTGACCTTATATTCAATATTCTTCTTGTTCTTGTCCCCTTTTTCATGCTTTTTCAACAGAAAAGAAAAAACAAAACAAGAGAAAAACAACAGAGAACTTTTGAGATTCTAAGAACTCACTAGGCATTATAGAGTGGAACTTATAGAAGGCGTTGCCCTTGCTAGGGCATTTTCGGGAAAAATGAATAAGACAAGATAAAAAAAATAAAAACTTCTTATTTTGAGTTCTGGGATGCCAAATTTAAAGGATTACATGATATTTCCGAGGAAACTTGAGCCACACTTTTATAGGTATTTTCAGTGAATTGAAATGTGATAAGAGAGAGCAAATTGAGTTGAAAACGGGGGAGGAAACGATGTGTGGACATTCAATGAAAAAAAGAAATATGAGCAATCAGGAAATAGAAAGATCTGGAAATGGGAAAAATGATTCAAAGAAAATAAGGACTTTCAGACTAGAAGGATCAAGAATTTTAATTATTTTTTCCATTTGGCTTTATAGGTCATGAGGATCGAACTCAAAATGAAAGAATTTCCTTCTTGTATCCAAATTAATTATTTTCAGAAGAAACTTGCACGATTATATAGGAATTTAGTTGAAGTCCTTGATTCTTCAGAAACTTGACCACAAGTTCCTCTCTAGAGTTAAATTAGTCAGATGATAATCTCGTGCTACTACGTAACTAGTCTGCACTCAAATTCCCAAGTTACAGAATATTTATATTCGTTTATGATCTACTAAAAAAGTTCATGCAGCAGATGACAAGTTTGCTGAACTTTTGGTCTCTCTGTAAAATACCGTATTCCTAGAAGCCCACCCAAACCATCAACTCTGAGCTCACATATCTCCTTTTCTGTGACAGATATCAACAATTGGTTAACTGACAAATTATTTATCATAACGTCACATATATTTTGTCAGTTGTCAAGTTTTTGATATCTAATACAAGAATCGAGATAACTGAGCTCAAAGTTAAGAGACCGCAGCCGGCCGCGTAGCTCACTATGTATCAGCAAGCAGGCGCTCATGTCTATTTTGAGCTTAAATATCCCATTTTCTGTAAAAAATATCAAAAAATAGTCAACTGACAAACTGTTCATAATAATATTCTTAATATTTTAATAATTGGCAAAATTTTGATATCTCTCAGAGGAATCGAGATGATTGAGCTCAAAACTAACCTTCTGGGTGGTCTTCTTCTAGAAAATACAATAGGTATTTGAGTTTTCTGCGAATCGGGCGATTCGTACAAAACCCGGAAATTTCAAAATACTTCTTCTTTTCTATTGACTCCTCTTCCTTTTTTCAACTTTTCACTTCCAAAACCGGGTACAAAATTTTGTGAAAAAAAAACTAAAAAATAAAAAATATTGCAGCGAACGGTGTTTTCAATACAAAATGATATAGATTAGGTACTAAATAGCTTTCCCGAGAATAGAATCTGTTCAAATTAGAGAAATGAGAATATTTGCAGTCAAGATTATATATTTTCATCTTTTTCTTTGAAAAAAAAACTTGAGCGGATTAAAAAATGGAGAGCCTTTTTCCGGGCTCCATGCCTATGATATCTGTACTTTGTGTTTTTCCGATGAATAAAATATAAGAAAAGGACACATTTTACATAATAAAAATTCCAAAAAAAAAGAACAAAAAAAGTTCTGAAGTGTGCTCAAAAGTACTTTCTTCCAGGGACAGGAACAAATTTGCATTCAGAAAACGTTGTTTCCTGCAAAACTCTTTTTTTTTCGCGGAGGACATGTTTTCTTTAGAAAAGTACAAATATTAGTGAAATGAGCAATATGGTAAGAATAAAACAAGAACAAGGAACAAGAAGTGTCAATATAAGAAAAGGGTTCGATTCATTTCGCTGGCACCGAAACAAATTCAATTTTCCTTTTTTTCGCTTGCATTTCACTCGAATTCGAAATGAAAAGGGTTTCTTTTTGTATATATAAAAAGAGCGGGAAGGAATAGATGAGCATGTTTTTGAGCAGTTCTAGCCTTTTAGTTATAAGAACAGAAGCACATTGCTGATTTTCTCAAGTTCAACAAAAACTATGACGAATTTTGGATAACTGGAGACTTAATTTTTAAAAAAATTGGCCACTGAACCAAAAGCTAGATATCGGAAACATTGAAGATTAAAGTATAAAATTAAGTATAAACATGTCTGATAGTGAGTTATTCAATACCGCGTAGCTCTTGGTGTAAGGAAAAAGAAAAAGAAAGCGCAGAATCCCGTTTTCGTTTCTGTTTTCCGGATTTCGGATTTCGTGAAAATGTGTTCTTTCCCACCACTGATACCTACACATTCACTGAAATAGAAGATGAATAATCAAATCAAACCTAATCGTTTTTTATTCTCATTCCATTCTATTAAACTCTTATATGCATCTAGTTTTTTCCTTCTCCTCTGATTCTTCGTTTCGGTTGTAATCATTGCATGTAATTAGGTCAAATTATGATGCATATTATAACCTAACCGGACATTTTCTTTCATTGTATTTTTATTGGCTTTGAATAGCTATCCGATATGGGAGAAGTACCCGTCTAATCTAGGCTAATCTGGATTCGATCAAGTTTTGAATGAAAGTTCATTTGGAGCCAGTTTGAGATCAGATTGGATTAGTCTTCGAATCAATCCCGGGTAGTCTCAGATAACAATTTTTGAATTTTTTGAATCCTGCCAGTACTTATGAATAAAAAAAAGGATTGGTCAATGATATGATTGAACTGAAGATCGTTTGAAAAGGACTCGAAAATATTGATGACGAATCCTTCTTTTGGATAAATTCTAGAAGTTTGAAAAAACGGAAATGGAAAAAAAATGTGGAAACGTCGAAGTTCTTAACCCGATAATGCAGGGATTACTGTAAGAAATCTTATCAATCTGATAAGAGATCATAAACAACAAGTGAAAAGATAATCAAAGTTGAAAGTTGAGAGACGACTTCTTCTCCATAAACCGGATGGACTTTTATACAAGGCCCTCCATGACCCCTCAGAATAGAGGCTCCGCCCATTTACAAGGTAATTTGTATGAGAGAGAAGCTATGCATCCCTTCTCCTCTCCTTTTCCTTCTTATTCATCTGCCAACATCTCGAAGTAATCGCATCGCAATGTCATTCTCTGTGTCTCTTCGTCTTCTACACTATTCCAAAATTACAGACTCGTTTGGCTATGCCGTTTTTTGCAGATTTCGAGGGATTTAGAGACGCAGAGATGTTCGAATAAGATGTACCACAGAAACCGGAATGAGGAAAAAGGAAGAATACTTTTGAAATGGTTTCTTTCGCTAACTTTTCAGTAAGGAAATGGTCAAAAAGTCTTGTAGAACAAAAGGGAGTAAATTCATGTCTTCTGGAGAAAAAAGTACTGAGAGAAGTTGAAAAAAAAGAAGAAGAGAGCAAAATTAGACAACGTTTAGGGGAATGGAAATAACGTTTCGAAAAGTTGTCCGGCAACTAGAATATTCCATAGAAAAGGGAAAATCCGTTACGTCAGAATCCTTGGGAAAGTGAAATTAGATGTCAATCATCTCAAAAAATTAATTATCAGGGAAGAGACTGGGAACTATATCCAAAAGGCTATAAAACCTAGAATGACTTGTTCAGAAACAGCCGTTAATCAAGAATTTCTAGAAGGCTAGAAAATGTATTTTCTAGTTTATTTTTTCCCCTAACTACGTTCTGGGTGACCAATCAAATCAAATCAAAATATTATTCAAATTTCATGCCAGTAAACAACTTAACCTAATTGAATTGGCTGAAACAAAACAGAGCTATACACGTAGGTAGCACTGAAATTCGGGTTATAGCTAGGATTACTGTAGATATCTTCCAAAAACTTTTATTTTGCTTATCAGAAGATAAGAGAAAGCTCTGAAAAACGAAAATAACAACAACTCCCATGAAATCTGTATAGTAGTTGTATAGAATACTACAATCTCTTTTCTTTATTTTCCCATAGGTGGTGTCATATGAACCATAAACTTGTGAGTTTTGGTCCTCGACTCAATGTGTCATGGGGATTTATTATTTTGGTCATTTGTTCAAGATCTATCGGCAAGAAATGGTAGCTCACTCTTTCAGCAGCTGAAATAAATGACAATATAGTCTTTCAAAAATAACGAACACTTAGATATTTATACCACGAGGAGCAGGAGCGAATATATGTTTTCAGACACCTAGACATCAGTCATAATACAAAATTCGTCGAGCCGCACTGGTACGACTAGAAAAAAGTTAGTGGGGCATCTGATGAGAATATATTTTGACGTCTCTTTGGGTGTCTGGAAGGAAAGGGGATGTTTAACGGTGACTGTCACCGGGATGAGCACATTTTGAAGTTGCCGAATCGTAAAGTTAGCTTTATGATTTCAGTTTGTAGTTAGTCTAAGTTTTTGGAACTGAAAGACTTTTTCTGCAAATGCAGGATGGTGCACAATTCGCTGGACTGCTAAAAACGGGTATATCTTTGACATAAGTATATTGGAAACCCGAAAATTGATAGAAATATAATTTTACGTTTGATTCAAAGTTACTGAAGACTTCAGCCGCTTCCTCGAGTTTAGGTATAGTTATGATTATTCAAAGATGAAATGTTTCTTGCACGCCGTTGCGATTTTTATGAAATTATGCATCTATGAGAAGTGATAATTCAGCTCAAAGAAGATCGAATAATTCAAAATTTGGCCAGTTTGCTATTGAATTTTTGTACTAAAAATTTGAACCTTAGGTTCCCTCAATTTTTATGCTAGTACAAACTCGAGTCCGGATAATTATGCGCCACCCTGTAAACTTTTGTAAATACAGTGTTATATGTATTTTAAGCATCACAGTGCTGATCCCAGATGAAATTGGTTCTAAGAATTCAGTTGGTCAATTCCATATGAGTTTGGTTTGGAATCTCAAATTTAACTTATTACCAGCCAATCCCAGAATCTTAATTTAAAAAAACTGAAAAAAGGAAGATTTCGAAAAGTCTAGAAAATCCAATCTGAAATGTTTTTGGACAATTTCTGAACTTCTCATCAGATTTTCAGTAATTTATTATTCTGGTACAAAAAATCGAAGCTGTGGAAGAGAAATGCTGGTGGCCGTGGGCAAAGGTCCCGCAACGACAACTACCGTAATCTAAAGACACATTTTTAATTTTCCGTATTTATTTTCTTAATTTTGTACTAGAAAAAATAAATAGTCACATAAGACAAGTTCGCTCACATTTGGATTAATTTAATCCATAATCAAATGTAGATCACTGTTCTACTTCTGAAAATATGATTTTCTCAAAACCGAATCCGTTCTCCTCTTTCCCTCCTCCAGTATACTTCGTGACGTCTTCCGAATTTCGACCGCCCTTTTTCGATTTTTATTAAATTTCCCATGCGTATTTTGTTACTCCTTCTCCACTGATTTTACGTCATCTGTTCTTCTGAATTTTATTTACTTGCAGGTGGAATATGCATCCCATATATAGGTTGACACATAATATTGACTTCCTTGTTAACTTTTTCGGGCTGGCTGAAAACGCAGAAAATAGAAAGAGGCAATTTATCATTATTTATTCATACACAACAGAAAAACAGACATTTTGAGAGAGATAAATAAATACATTAACGGGATGATATATAGGACAAAAGAGAGAGGGAAAACAAGAAATCGAAAAGAGAGAGAGAGAGTGAACGAAAAATGATGACAACTTTGGCAGATGAACGATCAGAGACTATTGACTCTATGCCATTGGTTATGACCTTGAATCGGAAAAAGCTTGTATATTTATTGGGTTGTAAGAAGGGCGAGAACGAGATAAAGATAAGAGATAAACAGCAGCTTTGAAGTTGTCATATCATTGGGATGTGAGATTTCAATCAGGCAGTTTCACTTTCCCTTTTTTCTACTGCCCTTTTGATTAGTGAAACCAGCTGAAAATAGATTGACTGACTAGTCGTTAACCGTAATTCTACTTCAAAAATTCGAAAAATCGATATATCAGAAATCCAATTCTAGATTTTCAAAAACTCAAACGTTTGGGATTTTAAAAACTGTTACGATTGAAGATCAGAAAAAAAGTAAAGTTCTAGAGATTTTGGGTTTTCGAATTGCCGCGTTTTTGAATCCAAATCTTGGAACTTGGACTTTTTTCAATTTTTCAATAACTTTTTCAATTACTCAATTTCTCAATTAGTATACCGAGTTTCTATACGGAATTTTCAAAATTATGAAAAGTGATATTTTCTGAAAATTTCAAACTGAAGACACTTGAAACTTCAACTTCTGAATCTCTGGATCTAGATTATCTGAGCTTTCGATTTTTCAAAGTTGTAAACTTCAAAACTTTCAAATGCCTAACCTTCCGAAATTCCAATATTCCTGGGTTTCCGTATTTCTGACTTTCTAAATTTTTGAAATTCTGAACTTCTTAATTTTAAATCCCGAGGGTTCCGAGTTTCCGAATTTACTCCAAATAGAACTAATAAAACTTTTCTATAAAATTACAGGTGTTGTACGCTGGAGGGATAACCGTGATTCCTCTCTAAACCTTACCTATCAGGATCTCAGCTATCAGAAGAAGCGACGCAATGAGTGTTCCCAGCATATGAATAACAAAAATAGAAGATAATTGATTCAAAGTAAAAGATGATTTTGAGGGCACATCAAATAGTGAAAGTTCTGGATATGCAGGAGTGTAATGATTGTCGATTGCCTAGAAATCTTCTGAATTTGAAGAAACATTAGGAAAGACCTACACTGAATGCTGGTAAAACTTTAATTATCATTTCATTCAGTTCGTCCAGATACGGAAAAGTTGGGCGAACGATATATGCAGCTGGGCAGACCTAAATGATGTTACTAAAGTGATACATCTATTCATATTACAGGAAAATCTCTGATCAGAACGAGATTTGAGTGGAAAAGCTCTTGTGTCCAAATTGAAAATTTTGATGAAATCCGCTGTGCTGGATACCATCCAAACCCAACCAGTGGTACTTTTTGCTGAAAAAAAGGTTCAGAAGAACACAATACTTTAAAAATATAAATTTGAATACCGAAGAGACGAAATCCAGCTCATTCAATCTTGTGACATCTCCGTATTCCGGAGGGTGACGAGATAGAATTTCAGAAAACATTGCAATGCATTTCGATGGAGGAATCTCACGAGGACATTCTGGAAGACGGTCCGATGATGGAGTGAAAAGACGGTAGATTCCTTTTCTGGAATTCATAAGGATTCATGGAACCCCATTTATACTTATACCTCAAATTCTCAACCATCCCGTAAAAATCCTCAAATGGCATGTGTTTCTTATCCGAAACAACCATCATTCCACTCAATTCGGAAGTGTATAAATCAACGAAAACATGGAACCAAGCAAGCAGCCAGATGGCAGAAAATAACTGAAAATCAATAATTTGGACTCTTAAGTCAATCTTTGATTTAAGTTGTTTCGGAATTGGTTTTATTTTTATAAATTTTTCTTTGGTGAATAAAAAAAACGTACATGGAATGCGAAGAAAGTTGACTTGTTCTTCACCCGAATCTCCAAATTGAATGTACTGAGAAGAACTTGGGAAATACTATTCTGAATGCCTCTGAAAATCAAAAACAAAGGATACAGAAGACGTCAGGATACTTACGCAGTAAGACCTTCTTTTGATTTAAATTCCACAGCTCTCAACACGAAAAAAGTGGCGGAAACAATAAGAATAGTAATACTGAGAAGAAACCAAACAACCGTTGAGAAAGGACGAAAAAGAAATCCAACGTCTTCTGATTTTTGAGGGTTTGTGATCAGGTAGACTTGATTCACTTCCAATTGTGTTGGATAGGTGAATGTGAGGATACGAGCACGATCTGCTGTCATTCGGAATCGTCCACAAGCCATGTCAATACGACCTTTTTGAATATCTCCAAGCATTCCTGAAGGTCTACTTCTTACTTTAGAAACTTTTCTGTTGTTTTTTCAAAAGTTCTGAAGCCGTATTCGTTACATTAGTGTTCTTTTTTTGAAAATAGAATAAATTCAGAATTTAGCAAATTCGAAACATTACCAATTTATGCATCTTGTTAACATGAAATTCGGATATCCAGAAATTACTAATTTTTTAGGAAATTCGGAAATTTAGAATTTCGGAGCTTTCGTAATCCAGAAATATCGAAAGTTCAGTAATCCTGACATTCAGGTATCCGGTAATGTTAACAAGTTAGAATTTTTTAATCAAAAAATCAGATTTTTGGAGACTCAGAAACTCGGAAATTCTGAAATTTATTTTGAAACTTCAAGTTTAAAATACAGTAAGAGGAAGCCAGGAGGTTGAGTCTCCGTCATTGAATCTCGAACCGACTGATTTGATAATAAGTATTATTATTCTGGTACAAAAAATCTAAGTTGTGGAAGAGGAACCCGTGGCGGAAGATCTCACAACGACAACTACCGTAACATAAATATATTTTTATTTTCTCGATTTCTACTTCTCTTCGCTGAGTATTCTGTTATTTTTTTTCCCCGGAAAATAACTAATTTTAATAGTGAAATATGGCTGAACACACACGAAAATCGAGATAAAAATCCGGAAAATAAAATTATTTTTAGGATACGGTAGTTGTCGTTCTGGAACCTTCGGCCACGGTCTCCGGCGTTTCTCTACCACAGCTCCGATTATTTGTATCAGAATTCTGGAATAATATGATATCTGGAATCTATCTTACCAGTTGCAGTTCCATTCTCCAGGACATGACCAATTTGATTATTGTATTGAACGAATCATATGTCCACTGCAATGCTTTCATCAACATCTCACATTGTTCAATTTCGAGGCCAACCTGATAACCTATTTTGAATGTTGATCCTGTATTCAAAACAAAAAGTTATACTCAACCTTTCATTCCAATACCTTTATTATTGAGTGATGAATCTACACCAATTTTCAGGTGTGGACGAACTCCAGCCATAGTTGAATACAACTATGTTCTCGTGTTCCTTTTTTTGTTCTAGTCTCTCACAAATTCTCGAATTACTCATCACTTCATTAGGCAATATTGGGACGAAAAGTAACAACACAAAACAAGGCACACGATACTTTGCGGGGGGAGGGATGGGGGATGTAAAAATAGAGCTACGACTTACAGATGGAGGAGGAGTGGGATATACACGTAAAACAGAGCAGAGAACATAGTGAAAAGCAGAAACCAGAATAGGAACGGTGCCTATGATTGCAAACGGGAAGGAGATGGAGTTGTGAGGGTAACAACAATCATTCAAAGAAGCAAAAATAAGGTCTCTTTATTATACCGGTCATAAAACAGTTCTAAAGGGGTTCAGTGAGAATCTTGAGTCTGGATGAACGTAATAAGAATAATCTAAAATCTATTATGCCATGAATTATTTCCATTTGGACCTCCTCCTGGCGGACCATGGTTCGGACCGGGTGGTGGTCCGTTTCTCCAAGTATTCATTCCGTCCCGGGGTGGTCCCATCGGTCCAGGTGGTGCTCCCATTGGTCCAGACGGTCCCGAAGGTGCTCCCATCATTCCTTGTGGTTCCGGTCGTCCCAAAGGTGGTCCCATCGGTCCAGGCGGTCCTCCCAATGGTCCAGGCGGTCCCATATGATAACCTCTTGGTGGTCCGTGTGGTGGTGGACCTCCGCGACCCCGAGGAGAATCTGAAACCGTAGGTCAATGTCATGTTTACAAAAATTAAACAATACCTTGGAAGAATGTTGGTGGTCCCATTCCTGGTCCACCTCTTGGAGGGAACCCTCCTCTCATTGGAGGCCCTCCTCCGATCATTGGGGGTCCACCTCGTCCAGGTGGTCCTCCTGGAGGTCCTCCTCTCATCGGAGGTCCTCCTCTCATTGGAGGCCCTCCTCTCATTGGCGGTCCTCCTCTAAATGGCGGATGCATTCCTCTTGGTGGTGGTCCACCACGTCCTCTTAGCATTCCCGGTGGCATCATTCCACGGTGAGGTGGTGGCGGCATTCCACTTCCTCGCCATGGACCGTCATGTCCTCTCAATGGTGGTGGAGGTGTTGCATACATCATAGGCGTTGGAGGCGTTGATTTTCTACCATTTTCAACAACTTCTCTTTCTTCTACCACTCTATCTTCTTTGATCGGAGGTGGCGGAGGAGCCTTCTTCTTGTCTTCGCTTGGCAGCGGAGGTGGAGGTGGCGGACATATCATAGATGGGGAAAACATTGGAGGTGGAGGTGGAACTGGAAGAGGGACACCAGATGGTATTCTGTTTCTCATTGATGGCGGCGGAGGGGGTGCAATAAATTGGGAATCCAATGGCGGTGGTGGAGGTGGCGGAGGGGGAGGAGATGGAGAAGGAGAAGAACTTTTACTCGTTGATCCACCATCTGAACCACTATCAAGGTCCATTTGATCACTATTGCGTCTCCGTCTAGCACGGGAGTTCCGCTTGTTTTTCTTTTTAATACTAGATTCGGAAGACAACGATGGTGGTGGAGGTGGTGGAGCTGAAAATACAAATCAGAAAAGTTATATCCCCGATCTCTGTTTTTGAGAAACGAACCTTGAGGTGGTTTATCCGGTGACGTTGGCGGCACAGGTTGGGAGACAGGAATAGGGTGAGTGGACGGCGCCACCTGCGGAGGTGGAACTGGTTCAGGGACTGGACCAGGGCGAGGTGGCATTGAGTGGGGAGCTGGACTGAGATTGGAAGACGAACTTGGTGGAAGATGCGGATGAGGAGGTGGATTCGAATAGGGACCACGATGATTCATTCCAGCAGCTGATGGATGATCTCTTCTTTCTTCAATCCAGTCAGGTCGTCGTAAATCACGTGGTGCTGGTGGTCCGTTACCCGATTGTCTCGCAATTCTTCTTGCTTCTATTTCATCCATGTCTTTCATAAACCGTTTCTCCATTTCAATCCGCCTTTCCATTTCCATCAGCTTACGCATATCATCTTCTAGAGAATGTGAACCCAGCACATTGGACGCAAGATGCACATTCTCTCGAATATGTCCAGGGCCAGACGGTCGAAGAAGTTCTTGTGGGATCGGGGCTACCATTCCGCGACGAATGGCATCTTCGACGATCTCGTTATCAGTCATTCCGAGACCTTCTAGGTAAGCTGGTCCTCCTCGCTTCATTTGATTTGGAGGTGGCACTAGAACTGGGGGAATAGCAAAGTTTGGATTGATTTGTACTGGAGCAGCCACAGGAATAATATGAGATGGCATTGGTGTGACATAGGAAGAATCTGGTTTGCCTGGAATGGGTGGCACTAGTGATGGTTGGACAGGAATCGACAATGTTGGCATTTCCATCGAAGTAAAGACAGGAGGTGCTTGTGAAAAAATCGGAGGAGGTTTACTGAAATCGATTGATTGAGCCACCGGTATCAGAGGCTCTGCTCCATTTCTTATTCCGTCTAACGAATCTTCCTGATCTATCATTGGATTTTTCTGTTTGTTCTTCTCCTTCTCTGCCTTTTTCAACGCTTTTTCCTCATCTATTTTCTTTTGAATAATCGCCTTGATCTTTTCCTTATCAGCATCAGAAACATCTGGATCAGACATGAAGTCCTTCGCTGATGCAACTATTTCTTCTGTAATTAGGAAAATTACAACTTGGATATTTAAGAATTCAAAACGAACTTATTTGTTTAGCACTATTGACAATTTGAAGAATGAAGTTCACTTTTTTGGCTGCCAAATCTTCACCATTCTCGGAAGCACCAGCTGACGCATGAGGGGTAACCGATGAGCCAGGCCTGTGAGTGTCAGGGTTTTCACTGTCGTCCTTTTCCGCTGACGGTGTCTTTTCTATGCCATTCGGTGGTTTTTCCGAATTCCCATCTCGATCATCCCGATCTTGAGTCTGTCGCCAGGAAGTTTGCATAATCTTCTCTCGTTCCATTTTGAGTAATTGTGCCTTCATTTCTTGATCACACACTCGAACGGAATATTGGAAACGTTCCGCATATTTGGGACGAAGCACTATGATGAGCATAAAGCAGTTTTCAGTAGTTCCAATATTGTATGTGACCGGAGCGAATGTATCTGTAAGAAAGTACAAGAATTAATTACTCTATCAACAACAATAAAAAACTACCATGTAAAATTTCGGATCCTCTGTGTGGGAAGAGAAAGATCGAGAGAATCTCATCGCCGACTGGAAAACTCAGTTGATACACATTGTCATGATCAAGATTGTAATCGAGAACTTTATGATAGCTGTTGGAGGTTCCTGCAGCTGTTAACTTCAACACTGCGAACGCACATGACCTTGTATCGTTCATGGCATTGTTGGATTCAATGAGAAAAGCTTGTATACGACGAGGTGTGTGCAAATTGAACGTTTGATCTTTCAGATGGCGTTCGAAAAGACGGAACAGCGGACGTGTTTCGTCTGTTTGAGCGAAAATTGGTGTGGCAATCGAGTCGAATGGTTCATCAGCCATATAAATGCGAATTGGTAACTCCCAAGAATCCGTAACTCCCAAGGGTCTTTTCTCGGAATCACGCCTTTCGGACTTCCTGGGTCGTTTTTCGGATGATTGCTCTTTGGTAGTTGAAACGTCTGCTTCGAAATCATAGACTGGTGTCATTCCTCCATCTCCATAATCATTGTCATCGTCCATCTCAAGATCTCGTTCTTCCCGTCGTTTTTGCTTCTGTTGCTCCCATGCTTCGCGATCCTCTGTCACTTTTCTTTTCCTAGCTTCTGAAGCACGTCTGTTCCGTTCTATTTCATCTTGACGCATCGCTTCTCGAAGCTCTCGGTTTTTCTCTCTTCTTTTTCGCAACTCATTCTCTTCCTCTTGCTTACGAATCTTCTCTTGGGCATCTGCGAGTTGTTTTGCTTGACAAGTTTTGCAGGTCTTGGAAAAGGCATGGGACATGTGTTCAGCAGTTGTGTCTCTCGTATCATCACCGATTATAGAATCCAATGGCTGAAAACAAATATTGCGAAAATGTTAAAACTCGCAAGAATGAAAAACCAGTGTAGAAGAATAATCGCGAATTGGGTACATAGAACAGTACTCAAAACTTTTGATAATACTGACTTTGTACAGCTCAACGTTTCGCACAGCTTTTTCTAACTTTTCATAAAGACTATTAATCAAATAACTCACATTGCGCGGTGCATTGGATTTCCTTTTCGCTTGGATTGGAATTCCAATCGGTTTTAAATTCCAGTACGAAGGATTTCTAAGGGAATTGGCATCCATTGATGTTAGCTTCTCAATACTCAATCGTTTCAAAATGACTCCTGTGACAAAATCTCTTGCGCTGTCCACATTGAAGTTATGGACAAACTGTTGTTTCCATGCCTTGTATTTTGGGTTGTAACTATCGCGATTGTACCTGACGAAAATCTTCTCCTCAATCTGCTCAGCGAGTTCCCGTATCTCATTTCTATCGATTCCTTTTATTTTCATCTTTTCAACTCGAGTAATCATAGCAGATTCCAATTGAGTTTTGGTAGCTTGTCGCAGCGAATCAACCGTTTCAGGTTTCTTTTTTGGAATAGGTTTTGATAGTGCCGCTTGTTTTCTCGCTTGCTCATTTGCCTTCTCTTTCTCTCGCTCTTTTTCCTTCTCTCTTTCCAACTCCTTTTTTCTAATGACTTCAGCATTAACAGCATCCGGACCTTCTTTGGGATCAACGCGAAGTGGCAGCCAGTGAGGAGAAAGTAGAAAGAACGAAAAAAGTTCTCGAGTATATACACCAGCCATCACAGTTTCTCCAGTCAATGAGTTCATTACTGTAGCAGTTTCACCATCTTGGTTCTAGAAGAAATTAGAAATTAACGGAATATTTTTCTATCACTAACCTTTGAAACACTGTCAACTTTTCCTGCAATGCACTTCACAGAACAATAAATGCTGTGTGCTCCCAAGTAATTCCGCCAAACATCTTCTGACACTGATGATAACCATTTGTTGCAGTTCACACATCTTCTGAAAATTATTTTTATTACAAAATCTAACATCAGCCCAAAACAAACTGTTTTAAGTGAGCAACGGTTGGCGTTTCGTTGAACAATGGTGTCCACTTTCGCCGAGATTCTTGATAGAGAGCCGACATTGGTCTGAAAATTTCTGATTGAACTTTTGATTATTTTGCGATGCGACAACATACATTTGATAATTGAGAAGAAATGGGCAAGCTTCAGAATCGCATGTAAGCAATAGTTCCTCAGGAAATGCATTCAGTTGATTCAAATAGGTAGTCGATTGACCGTATTCTTTCAACAGTTTTCTTTCATCAAGAAACTCATTAAACTCTCTCATTTCGGTTAGAGAAGTTGTAATACAATTGTACTCCTGGAGAAGCTGTTTTCGGGATTTGCCTTTGCAATCTGTTAGCTTGAAATGCGATGGATTGACCTCAGAAACATTGGAAGTGGAAGGAAGATGTAGAGAATCATTACGACGACGTCTGAAAAATAGGAAATCAGATGAAAAACTAAACTTTTTCACTAACTTGCCATCGGTACTTTCTTCATTGTCCTCATCACTTTCTATCACCGCATTTTTCTTCTTTTTACGTGATGCTTGCTCTTCAGCTTCTCTTTTTCTTCGTTTCGATGCTGCATCTTCAGCCTTCCTATGCCTTTCTTCCTCTTCCTTTTTTTTCAGTTTCTCTTGCTTGGCTTTCCGACGTTCCTCCTTTGCTTTTCTTTCTGATTCTTTCTGTTCAAGTTCAGCTGCAGCTTGTGCTTCCTTCTCCAATCGTTTCTTCTCAGCTAACTCGTTTTGCTCAGTACTAGAGCTATCTTCGATTGAAGTTTTCTTCTTTTTCTTCTTAATAATCGCTGCATCTGCATCCGAATCTTCCTCTTCTTCTACAATTTGCGAACTTGAAGGCTCATCTTTCTTTTCCTTGTGACGACGCTTTTCTTTTGCCTTTCGTGGTGATTCTTCGGTTTTGGGCTCTGCAAACAAAACAAAACTCCAGAAACGTATTCACAAACAGTCTCATACCACTTCGCTTCCGTTTATCGTCTTCCTTACTCTTCTTGCTGCTTCGAGATGAGCCGGTATCCAACAATTTCAACAACTCGTTCGCCCGAGAAGCCTTTATTTTTTATTGTTAAAAGAACTAAAAAGTTTCTATTGAAACTAACCGATTCACTGACACTATTTTTCAGTGTGCTGCCTCCTGCCGGCTCGAGTTTTTGCAAATAGTTTCCCATGTGAGGAGTAGATGATTCTGGTTCCATTCAAACTGTACTCAGGATAACGCCCTTTCAAAGCAGGAGAAAAGAAGAAAATGTATATATATTATCGCATTCAAACGATATTAGTATTAAAATAGTATTAAGAAGAGGTAATAAAAAGAAATAACAGCTTCATACATTTTGTTTAAAAACCCGAACGAACATAGTGCAAAATGACAATAAAAATCTATTTTAGTTAATCAGAATCTGAGAACGACGACACGGATTCTCCTGATGATTCATATCCAGAACCTGCCGGTGCTTGTGACGGAGAAGGGTCAGAGCCGCGATGCAAAATTGAAGGATCGATTCCCTCCGACTCCATCTTTTGGATGACTCCAGCTTCAGGAACACCCTGCAACAAATCAATATACCTAAAGTTCTAGTTGTAAGAGATTACCATTTTCAGCATTTTGAAATATTTGGAGTATAATGGATCATCTTTGATTAGAATTACGGAGCTGCTACACTCAGTCACTATAGATTTATTCTTCTCGGTACTGCTAGAGGGGTTCGATGTGTGTAGGGGCACATATTCGATGGAAGCTACTTCTGCTTCTTTCTTATCAATAACTTCTGGTGGTGTTACTTTCAACTCTTTCTGGGAATGCTCTAAATTTTCTTCTTCTAATTTCATTGCAGATAGCTTCGCCTCCATCAGCCGAAGCCTTTGATCAGCTGTATCAAGCGAATGCTCGGCTCGCTCGAGAACATCTTCCATACGATTACCAAAGTTGTTAAGAATCTCGGTCATTTTCAATATCAAGCAGTTGAAGGTGACAGCAGTTCGGTGGTGGTCGATAGGTGGAACCTGGAAAACCCCTTATTGGAAGAGTTTGTTCTGAAGTTGTGCTCACCTTATTCAGGTCAATCTTTGGTTGAGTCCGACTGTCTTGCGTACTACTCATCACGAACTCAGTCTAAGGAGAAACAAGGATAATCACGAATGGTGAGTAAAACCAGAGGTACATATAATATGGTAAAGTAACCTTTCAAAAACCGATGACAAACTTAAATCCCAGTACTTTCATAGCTTGGAAGTAATTGATCAGGCAAAATCATTGATGGAAACTAATTAGAAAATAAAGATCACAAATCGGCAATAAACGTGATATTGCAAGGAAAAAGTGAGAAGAAGCCGCCAGGGCTCGAAGATCAGCGGAAAGAATACTAAATAGACAAAATATGAACACATATGACTATTGATTGGGTTCATCAACAACACGAATTTCTTCAATCGCCTCTATTTGGTCAGAAAGCATTGGATGCGGGTTGTGACGAGGGGTACTTTGAAATGAACTGTCACTGCTCGGTACTGGAGATCGATCAAGTACTGATCCAAGATTTAGAGGAGGGAGACGATCTTCAGGGACTAGAATTTCGTTCAGTGTCTCTACCATCGGCACGATGTCTTCGAGCAGACACTGAAAAGGAATGTTTATTAAGATGTTTGGGTAATTTGATATTAACCTGAATTTTTGAAATATCATCGTGTAGTTGGTTCAGACCATTCAATGCTGTTTTGAAAGCATCGTGTTGAGCCTTATGTGATTGTGTTTCTTCAATAAGCTTTATCATTTTCGCTTCTACACTTTTGCAAATAGCTGGAATTTTGGATTGATCTGCTGCCACAGCTTTCGCATTTAAAGCGAAGTGTTCTTGAAGACGACTCGCTAGGCTGAAAATATTTTTATTATAGACCTTCAGAACAGAAACATGTCTACCGGAAAAATGGTCGCGAGCTGATTTTTTGATGAGTGTACGAAGCACTTTGATTTGATGACGGATCTCGTTTGCCAATTACTGCTGGGATTACTGGTAAAAAGCGGGGGATTTCGGAGAATCGTTTGTAAATTTCGTCATCTTCAAGCTTTTCTTGAGGAATGTTGCCGTCTTTAACTGTGACAATGCCTTTGGATCGTTTTGTACTGGATCGAGTTAAAAAAGAGAATGATGATTGCTGGTTTGGAGGGTTAGAAGATGATGATGGGCCAGAAGTAGACAAAGAAGCACTTTGTTCATTTCCCATCTGAAAAAAGACACTGTCAGTATGGTATTCATTCATTTAGAATTGAAATAAAACCTTGATTTAGTTTTTTGGTGCGTTGATGCTTGGTCCCATCTGGATTTGATCCAATGCCGTCTCGTTCCAAGTTAGGTTTGGATCAGCTGGCTGACGAGTGATGGCTGGAATTGAGTCAGCGTCGACGTCTGGCTCGAACTCGCGCGGGATTTGGATTTCGTTCTAAAAATTTTTTTTTTTCTTATCACCAATTTGAAATGCACTCACCTTTGGAAGTCTTTGGAAAATCCACTCTCTATCCCACTCCAGATATGTGTGATCGAGTCGAACTTCGGATGGAACGAACGACATACGAGGGCTATATGAAAAAAGTGGGAATCGCTGCAAAGAATCTATTGCATCAAACAATCTTCTGAAACAACTGCAAAAATGTTCTCAGCGTTCTATCAACAGACTAGATAGGATAAAAGTATTGGGTTGTTCGTGTAGTGAAAATCAGTATCTAAATTTTATCCAAAAGTATCGCGAAATGATTTCAAATGCGTTTTTAAATACAAACTTTGGCTACTTGAACAACCCAATGGGAAAAATCCGAAAAAATTGCAAAAACGAGACCCCGCAATTTCCGGGGAAAAAAAAATCGGGGAAAAAGTGGGCGGAGTCGGGGGCGGAGCCTAAAATGCAACCCTGGCACGGTTTTGCCGCAGGTTTTTCTGCACATTTGGGCACGGTCATGAGGGGGCGGAGCCTAAATTGCAACCCTGGCACGGTTTTGCCGCACGGTTTTTTCGACTCCGCCCACTTTCCCCGGTTTTTTTCCCCGGAAATTGCGGGGTCTCGCAAAAACCGATACTCGAGAAAGCGCGCTCCATTGAGATGTGGCCGAGTTTGTCTTGGCCGAGAAAAGTGGCCGAGATTTCTAGTCCGCCGGCCGGCAAAAGACATTTTTCAAATCGACTTCAACCTATTTTCGACGTTGTCTTGATCAATATATTCAGTTTTAGCGCATGTTTGAGTCGACCATTATGCGATGAGCGGAGGGAAAAGTGGGACAAAATTATCGGTAAGTTTGATAATCCGTTTCTGCCTCTTCTATCGAATAAAGATAATATTTTTAGTCGTTCCAAAATCTGCAACAAATTGGACAAGGAGGATTCGGAGTTGTATATTCGGCTCAAAGAGAAAATGGAGAGAAGGTCGCGATTAAGAAGGTGAGCTACTGACTATCTTTTTATTTATTTGTGGCTGCTTTCCTGGATTTCTCATATGTTCTTTGAAATATTTTTGTTCTCTTTCCCCTTGGAATTAAAGTTAGCTGACAGAGCTAGGAAATTTTTTTGTCACGTTTTCGATTTTTGGAAAGAAACATCTTGAAAACTTTCACCGAGTCGATTGAATATTCACATGTATTTCTCAGGTCACATTGACTTTTTTCAGATTGGAAATGCAGCTTCACAAACTCGAATCAAGGAGGAAATAAAAACTATGAAATTATTGAGACACAGGAACATCGTTCAATTCTACGAAACTTTCTTCGAAAACGGAGAAACTTATTTAGTAATGGAGCTATGCGAGGGTGGATCACTGATGGATTATGTGAAGCAAAAAGGTCCTCTTGATGACTCCACTGCTGTACATATTCTTCGTCAACTTATCGCAGCAGTAAAATATATTCACGATGAAAACATTCTACACCGAGATTTGTCTGCTGGAAATGTGTTCATCAAGGATGCTACTAAATCGACGATAACCGTTAAACTGGGAGATTTCGGTCTTGCCACGAACCTTGGTCAGCACGGAACAGCCTGTACGATTGTAGGAACTCCAGGATTCATTGCACCTCAAGTGTTTGGTCAAAACTACGATCAGGCTGCAGATGTATATTCTCTTGGGGCCGTTCTCTACACAATGCTTACCAAGCACACTCCTCCAACGAAAGGACCTCCTAATTTGGAAAGTTTGAAAAAAAGAAACCCTAGTGCAGCTGATTTAGTGGAGAGGATGATGCATACAGATGCAAGAAGGAGGATTCAGTTGAAAGAAATTGTTATGACCGATTATGTGAAAGCGAAAATGGGGGAGGCTACCCCTGGTTCGAGAGAACATTCAAGAGACAGCAGATCTCAACGATCCAGAGAGCCTTTCAGATCTTCCCGAGATGGAATATCCCTCGAACGAAGACCTCCCGCGCGATCGTCAAGTCAGCCAGTCAATTCTCGAAGAGACCCAGATGGATATCGTGCGGCCCATGAGGTGAGATGATTGTCACATCATGTTTCAATATTGATTTGTAAATTTTAAGATGCCCACCACTTCACGTACATCTGTTGAACCGGATCGAGCAAGAGTACGACATCGTTTGAGTGCTCGAGGGATCGGTTCTAGCCAAGAAGATGACTTACGGCAGCAAATCTGGCCGATTAGAATGGAGAGACTTGTTGGACAGCGAGTACGTACACCGGGTGGACGATATATAGTAGAGATGAACACGCGATGCCGATTCGAAGTAGTCTCCAAAGGAAATATTGTACTACGAATTCTTGTTGTGGAATACGACCCTCATCTACTAATACAGACCGTCTACGTACATAAAATGTCCAACAGAGTGGAACATGCACGAAATGAAACCGACGATTTGATAGAATTAACAAGATCGCCCATATCATATACATCGTAAGTACAGGGAAAAATTTATTGGTAACGAAATCAACAAAAAAAATCATGATTGCTAATATCCTGGCGCTGTTCTGGGCGTTGGGCAATGCTCACATCCACCACCTGTTCCTGGCTCTCCTGGCGGCCCTGGTTGTCCAGGTCTTCCTGGTTGACCATCTTTTCCGTCTCTTCCTGGTTCTCCCGCAGGCCCTTGCTCCCCGTCTTGTCCTGGGTTTCCTGGCGTTCCTGGAAGTCCATCTGGACCTGGCAATCCAGGAGGTCCTGGTCTTCCGGGTGGTCCCTGCGCGACATTAACTTCATCACATTTTCCTGGCTCTCCATTATCTCCTGGTTGTCCTGGGTCACCGTCTTCTCCCGGTTGTCCATCCTCTCCTGGTTCTCCTGGTTGTCCAGGTAATCCGGGAACTCCTGGAAGACCATCCTTTCCGTTGCGACCAGATTGTCCTTTTGGTCCAATGTTTCCTGGTGGTCCTGGTGGTCCAACAGGGCAATCGTAGCATGGTGCAGAAGTGTCACGCCTGGCTCCAGAATCTTTTGCATCTGTTCCGTCTTCACCGTTCAGCCCAGGTTTACCATCGCGTCCGTCTCTTCCATCCTCTCCTGGGGGGCCTGGTGGTCCAGAAGGACCTGTCTTGCACGAGCAACATTGTCCTCCTGGGGACAATGACGACTTGCTACTGCTGAATCCAGATTCACTGTTTGTGTTTGATTCAGAAAAATCATATCCTGCTTGTTTCTTCACAATAATTCTTCGGCCTTTGATTCCTGATGCCGTTTGCATTCGCTCGTATTGAATAAAGAGTCCCACAGTTCTGTGACGACAGAAATCGATTTCACTATGTAAGTTGGTTTGAATATGCTGCATGTAGTTATAGAGAAGTGGGATGGCAACGATACATGTCAGTGTAGAGACAGTACTGAAAAAGTCTTCTTTTTTTTAGTAAAAACGTTTCACTGTTACCTGATACAAATTCCGAGAAATGCGACTTTTCGAAGCATAGAAGCTTCATGGTTAAGTTCTTTTTCATCCATAATAATCAGACAAATTGAGATGGGATGCTTCGAATTTCATTTGAATTCTCAGCTTTTATGTCGGATTGTTTTTTAACCTCAATATCGGATTTTAGATGTCTTCCCTAGCGATATAGGGCACTTTTTTCTTTTTCTTCAAACGCAGTTTCTTCTCCTTTTTCTCCCGACCAATTTTTTTACATGCGTACGGCTTATCAATGAAATCTATTTTCTCTTCTAACGTTCCGGATAGTTTGTTCCGCGGCGCTTATCTCATTCTCACTCGCTTGGTTTTTGTTCGGTTTTCAAGTTGGCCGGCAGCTTTTTGATTTAACGATTTTGCGAATTGTTGGGGACAGATTCGTTAGGAAGCTTCAAAAGTTCAAATTTCGAGGAAATAAGGAAATAAATTATATTTTACAGGTTATCACAACTACCAAAAGAAGTGATGAACGATTACATGCGGCTGGAAAAAATGATGGTATCTACAATCGCAAGTCGAGTGGCAAAGATCACGCATCGTCGACCTTCACAGTTTCCTGATGCGTCAGCGCAGCTGATGGAAAATGGGGATTTGCGAATACGGTTTCCAAATTCACTGATTGTTCGAAGGAAATCAAACGGGGAAGTTCATAACTATATTGACGGATTCGCAAACAATAAAGAAGAAGTTCGTGGTTTGCAATTGAGCAAAGTTCGGGAAGTTTATGCATGTCTTACTCAACTTGAACAGTGCCTGAGTAGGATGAATCCGACGATGAAAATATTACCGATGGTGTTCAGTGCTGGACCTGATATGTAAGTTTGCCTATATCACAGGAACAAAGAAAGATAAGAAAACATTCAGCGTTGCTACTTACAATAATTCGCCGTCGTCAATCTTGCCTTCAACTTCTTCGCAAGCTTCTCGTTTCCCATTCAGTGAGATCTCAAGCAGTCAACAGTTGGTTCCTCACTCAGCTCCCATTCCCAACAAACCATTGTCATCGCGAACGACGTCTTCGTTAAATGTTAGAAATGGGGTTTCATCAGACGAAAATACCGCTCCGGCCGCAACCCGACAGAAGTACAAAGCTAGACTCGTATGTTCCTTTCTCATCAATCAAAATGTGCTAACAGAAACAATATTTAGGACCCGGTGACAGGAAGGATTGTATCAGTACAAGCCGAAGATAACCGAAAATTGCGTTGTTCCACTAGTAAACCTGATCAATTCATCTTTACGGATCCTTCGATTAGTTCTAGCGAACAGCGGTTCATGCGGAACGGACGAGTCCCTGAACGAGCGTCAGAAATGCTCCACGCGCTTTTGGTGTATATGAAGAAAAAGCAAAACTAATAATAATCTGTATCTATCATTCGAGTGTTTAGTCTTTCAGTGACATATCCGATTCTCATCTCTGTGTATATCATACATTTCAGTTGATCTCTTCTTTTAACTTTTTTTTTGCCTTCTTCCTTTTTTTAATAAAACTCTTATTTTTGATTTTCGTTACTAATTTTCTTTGGTTTTTAAATCCATTATATGTTATCTCATTATCCAATGATTTTTTCCCTATTTCGCCTTATTATAACTGTTCCAGTAATTTGTCGATGGCAAACCGCTTTGGAAAAAGTAATTGGCAAGATGTCGACCGGCTGAATCTGATGAAGGTGTGCCTGAAGTACCAGAAGTGGGACGAACGTTTGCGTGAAATGCGAGCCACCTATCCAAACATCCCGCTAGGATACTTCACGGAGAACGTATGTTTTTGAAATACGGTGAATATCATAATTCAGCTCGTCCATTTACAGTCATGTCGTGAGGAACTAGAGAGAATCATGTCACTGCCAACACCCAACGTTCGACTGGATGTTTCGAATACATTCGTTTACAGTAGGAAAATCATAATGGAGAAGTGGATTGACCATTTGAAAGCGGAAGTGAAAAAGTCCCAAGACTCGGAACTGGAACTGTACTTGGTGAAGCTCAGAAGCAACTTTAGTTTGCTGAAAGAACTTGTTACTCCAGGGATTACGGAGAAGAGAAAGGATGAGCTTTTTGCGATACTACAACCAATTGCTGAACAGAAAAAGAATGATGATTCCTTCAAAAGAGTGATTGGTTCTTTAAACTTGGCCGCCACTGATATTTTGAGTAAAAACCCTGCAATAGATTTATCAAACATCGAATTACCACCTTCAAAAGAACCTGATGAAGAAATGGATACTGGAACCAATGACTTCCTTACACCTGCAACTTCAGCCGAGACGTAAGTTACAACGAAACTTCTACTTGAAATATGTCTATGGTTTTCAGATATGATATGTCGTTCTTCTCTCCTCCTCGAAAAAGACTCACTCTGGCTGAGGCTCTTGCGGAGGCTGTTCCAATTCCAGCACCTCCCCCTGTTCCTGTATTCGAAGAAATGCCAGACGATTTTCTGGAACCTCCCGCGCGGTCACCAATTCGGGAAGAAGAAATGCCAAGTTCTCCGAGAAAGAATGTCGTTCCGGATTCTCCGATAAAAAAGCCAACAGAAGAAACTTCGAAGAAGCGTATTCCGGCAGAGGTTTTGTCAGTCGAATCTTCACAAGTTACGCCGTATACACCTGAACAACAAGCTCTACAATCTCCGAAACAGGATGCATCGGAAGCATCTTCTAAGCAACCAGCCTCATCTCCAAATAAGCAAATTGTGACACCATCGAGTGAACAACAACCGACTTCGAGTGGTCAACCGATTGCACCGTCAAGAACTGCTCAGAGGACTGCAAGAAAGATAGAATCGTCAGTATTGGAAGTAAAAGTTGAAGATATTAAAAAAGAAGAAGCGACACCTTCTCCATTGCTAGATTCCACTCCAGCACCTTCAGAACGGCCTGTTGCTTCTTCTCCGAGCTTGCGCTCACGTGCCCGTCCAAGACATAGTTCACATTCTTCGTCAACCACGAAGAAGAACGATGATTCCTCCGAAACCTTGAAAGAAGAAACTCCTGAGCCTTCAGCAGTTCCACCGAGAAGACGTCTTCAAGAACGATCACAAGAGCCAACAATTCCCGGGTTCGTTCCTCACCTCATTTATATATATAGTTAATTTCATGATCTAAGTTCCTCAAGGAAACGCAACGCTCGTAAACCCCATGAAGACAGTCCATCGATTCCTCCACTTTCTCGTTCGGAAAGTGGCGTGGATTTGCTAGCTGCTTCTCCATTGAATTTGCCGTGTCGCGAAATTGAAGTTCAAACTGAAATCACCATTCGTGAAGCTGTTGAAGAAGTGTCGATTGGCGAGCGACGTCGTACTCGGGGTGTGCAGCAGCCTGTCCGCAAGGGCAGGAAATCACAGGCTCCCACAGAGGCTGCTCGTTCAATGTCTCGTGCATCTTCTGCGTCAACTTCTGTCATCAGAAACCAGACACGCCACATCGCAGTCCAGACAAGTCCTCGTTTTGAGCTGGACGAAAAAGAGATTATTTTATTCCATGTCGACATTCATCCGAAGTACTCACTTCCTGTCGCTGACCACGAGTCGACTTTACAACAAATCAATGTCGAAACTTGCAATGTAATTTGACTTGAAGAAATTTATTAGGTTAAACTTGGAAATTGCAGGAAATCGACAGAGAGAATGCCGCCCGTGCTGAACAAAAAACAGAAGTTGTAGATTCGACAGAAGACGAAGAAATCACAGTTGTCGTTGAAACAGATGAACCGGCCGGAAATAGTGAGATATCTTCGGAATTCCTTGTATAATTTTTTTATTCAGAGCTAAAATCAGACCTTGGATTTGAAGTAGCTTCAGCAATGTCTGATCATCGCTATGTCCGCATCTCTGCTGGTTTGCGCGACGTTACTTCGCAATCACGAAATCGTGATAAAACTGCTGAAGCGGCAATGAAGGTACGCTCAGTTTTGTAAAAGTTGAAATTTTCTACATTATTTTTTTCAGGCCAATCTAATGAAACGCTGGGATACCATAGAAAGACATCCATGCGCCGAACCGTTCAGAGAGCCCGTGCCTGAATGTGAAGAAGAATACGGTTTGGGTATTCACGAAAAAGTCGATTTATCAGCGATTAGAAGAGATATTGATACCGGAGTGGTCGACGGACTAACTTTATTCTTACTTCGAACCTATCGCATGTTTTCAAACGCTGTCATGTTCAATGGGTACGATCATGATGTCGCCTTACAGGCAAAAGATATTCACTGTAGCACGATGAAACTAATGGTACAGGAAATTGCTGAAAAATCGAAGAAAGGCCACCCATGTTCGGTGACCACCTATTCGAGAGATCAGAGTATTGACCAGGAAGGACCTAGTACGCCATTAGCAGAAAGGGAAGTATCGATTCCGCACAGTATCGAAGGATCTTCAACAAAAATTTCTCGCAGGGAGCAAAGCACCGAAGGTGCAGCGACACCCACCGGAAGCCGAAGACTAAAAAGACAAAAACCAGCCAAATAATTGATATTTTTTCGAATGCATTTCCAAATTAACCATATGCAATATTTTGGCCAAGAAACGTTTCTTATATTCCTGCTGTTTCTGATCTTGTTTCGTCCAAATTTGTATTACCAAAAAATGTCTCAGGACTATTTACCACACTTTACGATCTGTTTTATTTTTAAGGAATAAAGGTTTATTCGAAAGTTGCAATGTATATCCAATATTGTCTGTATAGTTCGATCATCAATTTTACTTCATTTTTTCCGTCTTCTTTATGGGGTTATTCATTAGTATTTCTTTGCATTTTTTTGCATTTTTTTACTAATGAATAACCCCATTATATTCAAATTTTTCTTCCTCCTCTTTCTTCTTCTGAGGATTCTGAAAAAAATTTTGAAAACTGAAATATTTATACTTTTTGAAAAAGCTGAAAAACTTTGTCCCTGAATTTTTCGGTCTAAAAGTGTTCAGGTGATTTTTCAGCAATTACATGGATTTCTGAAAGTTGAAGTCAGAACTTTGTACATAAAAAATTATTTCAAAAATTGAATAAAATTAATCATTTTTAATATTTATGCGAAAAAGATCAGATAAAATCCTTAAATCAGTATGATTTTTGAAAATGCTGAAATTTTGCTCCAGGCCTGCCACGCCAAATTTTTTCTTGGTAGATCAAACTTTAATTTGCAGTTCCATTGAATGCCCAAAACATTTATTCTGAATTGTTTTTTTGGTTTCTTGGTGCTCGCTACACTAGTTTATACACTGCACGCATTTGAGGTGCTTCACGCACGCATTCGAGACCCCGGAAATTCCGGGAAAAAAAAAACTCCGGAGAAAAGTGGGCGGAGTCGAGGGC